TCAGAATCCTTCTTGATCGAAATGACTTGGATTTCTTTCAAGTTATTTTTTGTTATAAAATTAACAATTAATTTAGGTGCAAACAACTAGTTCAAAAGCTATAAAAAGAATTCCAAGAGAGTGCTTAGAATATTGAGAGAGATTTTCAGTGTATCAGTATATCTTTCTTTTTCTTTGTGTATTTCATTCAGATCAGGAGCCTTTCTTTTATTGGCAAACTTCAGCCAGAGAAAGGACTATCGGTGGAGACAGTCTTAAAGAGGGGTGGTCATCCACATCTTTTTAATTTAACTATCAATTTTCAATGAGATAATACTATGTCCATACATAATTCTAAGTTATTTTAGTTCAGCCTATAGGTTGTCCTTTTTGTAACTCGACCATACAAGAAGAGTTGCAGTTCATTATGTGTTCGATCTAATATTTGATGTGATGGCTAGCTCTCATACTAATTTTTATTAGAACTTGCTCGTAAAAATTGATTTGTAATGGAAAAGTGTCAAAGAGTTCATATATACACATTTAGTCTTATATATTTAATTGTTTTATATATATAACCGATGTAGAATTGTAACTTTCACCCATTTCTGTAGTTGATGTGCACGACGGTTCACTCTATTGACACTGATCTAATAGTAGTTTTTCCTTTGGCGGCTACTCTCACCTATCAGTATCCATTATCCAATGAAATAGTACTATACTCATACATAATAATCATTTATCTTCATTAAACCTATAGGTTGTCCTTTGTGTGACTTGACCATTAAGAACTGCAACCCATACTACTTTTGATCCTATATTCGGTGTGGTGGGAGTTTTGATACCGATTGTTATAAATTCATGGGTAGAAAGTCTATATAAACATATCTAGTCTTATATTTAATTGATGTAGTATCATAATAGAAGCAGAATGCTGGATCGCCTTTTGTGCAAGTCTTTTTGAGTAATTGTGTTTTAACTAGGTCTCTTCCTTTGTATTGAAACATTTTTTTTTTCTGAACTCCTCTATATTGAACCTTATGAGAGAAATAATTGTAGTGCAGGATTTTTCGAGTTGAACATCTCTTAAGGTGGTGAACCGTGGGAATGAAATATCGATATTGTTATTTTCCTCACTAACACTCACTATTAAAGGTGGTGACTTCCACATTGTGCGTCACCAAGAAAATAGGAACCGATGCTTAAGCCATTAGGTGAAAGTTCCCACCCGAGGAAGCGAGTGATTTTAGGTTTTTTATAGTTAGTAAGTACGCTTCTTGTATTCTTTCTTTTGTAAATTAATCTAATGCTCGTCATGGAAGCATAAAACCCATTCCAGGAATTAAAAATAGCATCTCCAATCCTTATTTAAATCCTTTTATAAGTTTAAGTTTGAGTAAAAACATGCTTAAAATCAGCTTCAATCCTTTATTAAAACTCATATTACATCAAGGGTGACTCAAATTTTTACTCAAATCAAGAGATTTAAATTTTATTTAAATCTTTAGTGGTTATTTTTTGACAATTTTTTAAAGATCAAATGATCAGATTTTACCTTTCCTTTAAATTTGAGTTTTTTTTTTAAATTTGAGTTAAATCAAATGTTTTCATGCTTCTGCGTAATGTTGTTAATCAAATTGAGTTATTCGGGTTTAGCTCATTTAAGCTTGATTTGTTTTTTAAACGAGTTCGAACTTGAATAAATTTTGAGGCTCGTTTAAAAAACAAGTCTTATAAGTTCGGTTTAAATTCGATAGACTTGACTTGTTCATGTTTAGATACTTGGACTTGACTTGGACTTAACTTGTTTTGGGTTCATTTAAGTTTGACTCATTTCTTAAATAAGTCAAACTGGAACAATTTTTTAGGTTTGATTAAAAAATAAGCTTTTTAAACTCGGTTTGAGCTTGTTTGACTAATAGCTCTACTTCTACGGATGGTGGTTCAACTATCGTTGCTTTGATTTTGTATATTTTGTTGTAAATTTTACTTGCCAAGTCTAACAAGCTGGCCCCATATTTACCCTTTCTTAGATGCAAGTTGGCTTTGTGGCACAAATAAATAGAGGATTTTATTGAGCGAAAAATTAGACAATGCTAATTATTGAGTATTGTTTTATATTTTTTTGGGCCCCAAAACAATGATAAAAGCATCCACATATGTGATAAATTGAGGTATAATATAGTGAAAATTAGAAAGAAGTCTCCCTAGATGTATTTGTTTGGAGATAAGTCTTGTAAGAAAAATTATAAATGACTAAATCCATGTTTAAAATTATATGTAATGGTTAAATTATTTTCCTATTTTGAAAATTGTTATTATTTAATTCAATGTCAATTAAAATATGTCAATAAATTTTTTATCATAAATAAAAAATTCAAATTCAAAACTCTCTCTCTTTCTCTTATATATATATATATATAATATATATCAAATTCAAAGCTCTCTCTCTCTATACTCTCTCTCCTTCTCTTTATACTCTCTCTCTCTCTATATATATATATATACACATACACGTTAGTTTGTTATGGAGATGATGCAAGTATAGTGGCTTTTGTGTGATGGTGAGCGTTGTTGTGGAGGTGATGACAACGTGATGGTTGGCGTTGCTTGGGAGATGACGATGTGTGATAGTGCCAGTGCTATGGTGAGGAAAGTGGTAGTCGAATATATATATATTCAAATTCATATTATTATTTTTATTATTATGTTACTGTTCATGTTATTGCTTTTGTTGAGTATGTTACTGTTTATGTTACTATTATTTTGAGCATGTTACTATTTTTGTTGAACATGTTATTACTATTATTTTACTAAATATTAATATTCAATATTACTATTTTTTTTGTTTTTGAGTATTATTATTTTTTGTGTTTGAATGATACTATTTTTTGTGTTTGAATTTAAGAGGAATAATTATTGCTAAATATGTTACAGTTTTTGTTAAGTATGTTACTGTTTTTGTTATTTTTAAAAATATTAATATTGAATGTTTCAATTTTTTTTTATGTTTAAAAGTTAATATTTTTTTCTGTTTATATGTATTATATTTTGTTCAAATGATAATTTTTTTTTGTATTTGAATATTATTATTTTTTATTTTTAATGTTATATATATATATATATATATATATATATAACATAAAATTTTAATGTTAATAAAACTCTTAATTTATATATGGATATAGATAAATACGAGAAAGAAGATTTTAATGTTAGTTAAATTTCTAAGATTTGAGAATTTTTAATTTAATTTTATTTTTAAAGGGAAAGGATAGTATGGTAAAATTGACAAAAAATGAATTTCATAATAAATAAGTTTTTTTGATAGACTTAAGTCAAAACAAGTCTATATAAGGAGACAGACTTTCAAATTTTCCAATAATGTATGACTAATAAGCAAGGAGCAATCACTCATGCAATCACGTATTTTCGAAAAAAAAAATTATTGTACAATTTGCACTCACTCCTAGTTTGTTGATTTGACATCCGGTCATCAAATCCATGGGTTTTTTTGGCCTATAAGAAGGCTCGGAGTTTTGTATAAGAACGTGTGTAAATTTACTAAACTGATCGATAAAATCTCAAAAAAAATTAAAATTAAAAATGTGTTTAAGTTTGCTCCTGTGGAACATGAGCAATGTGTCAAATGAGCTTCCAATGAATGCAGCTTAATCAAGTTTGAATAGCTTGTTTTAATCTAAAATAAAAATAAATATTTATTTACATTCGATGTATTATTTAAAAATTCACTTACAATTTTTGTCGGTGTCTCTCTCTTTAGAATACCAAGAAAACTAATGTTTTTATATTTACGTAAATGTTATTACGTAGTGAATTTACGTAAATGTTATTATAAGTGAATTTTTAAATAATTTAAATAATAAACATTTAGTAAAAAAAATATTTGTTTTATACATATAGATAGATAAATAAATACCACTTTTGTTTACATTATGTGAAACTTTATTAATATCTTCTCTTAGTGTTTGTTTACTAAACAAAAGTGGTATTGATCTATCTGTCTATACGTGTAAAACAAATATTTTTTTGGGTGAGACGACTTAGGAAGCCTTCTTCCCTCCCTAAATAATTAATTTATAGATTAATAAAATATTTAATTAATCACTTTTAATGAAATTATTCCATTTGACTTATTTAACTATGCTATTCAAAATTATATATTAACTTTCTTTGGCCCAAATCATATGGTACGATTATCTCCACTCAAAACTTATTTATCTAATGATAGACTAATCGTACTATTTCGAATGTAGAATTTGATATAGAATTTGTAAGAGTAGTATTACTTATGTCTTATGTTTGACTTTAAATCTTTCAATCATTTTAATCGGGTAACCAAATATCAAAATTTTGTTTTGATGTATTGTTTATGTTACTTATGAAATGGAAATGTTTCGATCTGTTTTAAAAATATAATGAAAAAATAAATAAAAATATTAAAAATTATTTTTTCAAAACATTAGTTGAAATATAACAAAATATCTTGAAATATTTTGAAATAATTAGATAAATGCATTGAAATATTACAAAACATTATAGAATATCTCGAAATATTAAAATTTTGATTTTAATAACGGATTCGTTTTGATCTTCTTAAAAACAGAAATGACTGTTTCAAAATAATATCTTAATCCTTCCACATAACAAAGGTAACCTAAAAATGGTGTGTTTCATCTTTGTGAGAGAGAAAGCTTAAAGATTTTTTTTTTTTCTTATTTTCTCAAATAAATTATATTATAATTTTAATCTGTCTAATTAATCTTTCAATACATCAATCTTCCCCGAGTTACGCCTTTTTTACATCTCATCTCATTATGTTTTTTTTTTTTTTAATTGGATCTCATTACCTCAAAAGTTCAAATTATTAACGAGTCACGATCTCGGGCCTAACGATGTGGACCCGGGTCAACAGTCCATACGTGGCCCAATAACCCAACTTGGAGACGAAGCAATGCTAAAAATCAATTTTTCATCGTTGCCGACAGTAACAAAGTTATATATAAAAACCTTTCGCCGGGTCTTTCTCCCACTCCGTCGTCTCGTCCAAAGTGGCAAAAGCCCTGCTTACTATCTCTCTCTCTACGTAACCCTAAAAAGAGCATCCTGACTGATGGAGGTCGACTTCGCTGAGTATCGATTGCGCTGTCAACTTCGAGGCCACGAAGACGACGTCAGATTTTTCACCACTCTCGCTTTTATCGATGTCTTCTATTGATTTTCGTATAAATATGTTTTTAATTATGAGAACAACCAATCTTTCCTTTTCTTGGTATCCAATTTCATTATATCAATAGATTTTTGTTGCATAGTATATGACAATGTTGGTCCAGTTCTGAATCTTTCGTTTGGATCTTTAGAAGAATTGAACAATTCCACAAAATTTGCGTATATAATGAGTGATAACTTCAACTTAGTTGTTTTATACAGGCCGTACCTCTAGTTTTACTCTGACTTTGTTAGATAATCTTTAACTTCGTGATATATCTGAATGTGATAATATTGAAATTGCGGCGAACCTTTATTTTCTGGTTTTTTAGATTTATTGATCAATTCAAAATTAACCTAGATAGCGAATGATTGTAGGTATATGTCTACTTAATCAATTAATATAATGGTCTAAGTAGCTAGTTATACTATGGATACTAACATTATTTTCTGAAATTATTATTGCCAGGTTCGTGGTATATGTGTATGTGATGATGTGGGTATAGCGACTTCTTCAAGAGACAGAACCATCAGGTTCTGGTCTTCTAATCCATTGAATAATGGTGACTACACTATGTCTAAGATACTGTTGGGGCACACTAGTTTTGTGGGGCCATTGGCTTGGGTTTCACCGAATGCGGAGCTTCCAGAAGGTGGTATTGTATCTGGTGGGATGGATACTCTAGTTCTGGTGTGGGATTTGGCAACTGGAGAGAAGGTTCAGACACTGAAAGGTCATCAACTGCAAGTCACTGGCATTGCATTGGATGGATCGGACATTGTATCATCGTCGGTAGATTGGTATGGTACATGTATTTTGCGTGGTTAAGATTATTGTTCTTGGTGGGAATTATGGGCACGTGCTTTGCAAGTTAGGACAGTTTTTGTTAAACATGGCAGTGGACTTTGTCCATAGCCATAGGTTTTCAAGAAATTTAATGATTTGGAATGCAATTGAAGTGCTAAATATTTGATTCATATTGCTTTGGTAATTAAGGGAGTTTAATAGTTGCATTTGTTTCAAGGTTCATACCCGCTAAATGGGTCTTCATTGTAATGGCTTGGATATCTTCCAAGTTATGTTGGATACTATAATTTTTACCAAGTCGCAATAGGTTTGTGCTCTGTACGCATATTCCCTCTTTGGAATAATTTTTTGGGCTTGTTGAGAGGGACAAAGCAGACAAATTGTTGAGAGGGAATGGGGCAGCAGCTGTAACCCTTATTTCCTTCTTTTGCCAAAAACTTAAAGTATGAATTTTCATAGTATTAGTTAGGGGTGGGGGTGGTGAGACAGGAGAGAAATAGAGAGGGATGGAATTCAAATCAAATAGCGTGGGACATGCACATGTTAATTTAGATACATATTCCCTGTAGGACTTTGAATGAACCCTAAAATTAATGTGTGAAAGTGTTTACATTGGGTAGAGCCTTAAGTAATCACTAGAAAGTCTCTTTCTATGAAAACATTGTATTCCTACATGCTAACTTTAACGGTCTGATGTTCAATACTCGCAATTATGAACTTTTCCATAGACTTTGTAGTTTAATGTTGGCGATTCTAGCCTTGTAGATCTCATATTTCATGCACCTGAAAGAGAGGAGACTTAGACTGTGCAGGTTCTTGATTAGGTATTTTGTTTCTGATGGAATAACTATTGCATCGGTTTAATATTTTTTCAGAATAACTTTTAAATTTATATTACTGTAGTCTGGTTGGGTAATGGTCCCAAATGTTGAACTTAATGTAGCTTGATACTTTTTAAGCTGAAATTGTTGTTTTATGAGTCTCATTTGATCACATGTGTTGTGCTTTAGTTTACCTGTCAATGATCATTCAAAGCATACAACTACTTGGCTGCCAATTACTTTCTTATAGTTTTTTATTGCCCAACTTTTTATGACATTTTACTAGATTGACATGATGTGTGATTCTGCCTAATGAGTGTAGTACATTAAGACGGTGGAGGAAAGACCAACCTATTGAAATTTGGGAGGCTCATAAGGCAGCAGCTCAAGCAATTATAAAGTTACCTTCAGGCGAGTTTGTTACAGGTATAAATTGTAACTCAATCATTGTATCCTATTGATTTTAAGGTATGATTGTGTAGACCTCTTCTTTTCCTCGCTTCCTGTTCTTTTCTTGAACTTTGAAGTTCTTTATTATCTTCCTTGTGATCTTAATCTTCAAGTTTAGTCCTTTGCTTAAGATATCCTGCACTTTAAATCCAGGTTCAAGTGACACAACTTTAAAGCTTTGGAAGGGGAAGACATGTGTGCATACGTTCGTAGGGCATACAGGTTGGCATTTTACATGTCTACATGTCTATCTTTTGGATATATTTGAGGGCATATTATTGTTTTTATTTAAAATGCTTATGATGTGTGTTTCTTTACTAATTGTGATGGTGATGGTTGGTGGAAGCTGGTTGATCTTTCGTATAATTGTTTGTTAATCAATAAGGTTCCTGGAAGTTGATGGCTAAACTAAAAGTGTCTTCAAAATGAGTCTTCGAGATTATTTAAATCCAAATGTTGACCGGATGTTGCTTTGATTCTTTTAAGACTTGAAGCTTTCACTGCTAGTTAAAAATTGATTTAATTGACGTTTTTCATATGATTTTTAAATGTACAAATCCTGAAAAAAGTAGCACGACAACACTCATAGTATATTTTTCAGGGAAGTCACGTCTATATTGGCAGAAATTTCCTAAGGCTAAAGCTAATTGGCAAGGTGTGAATTGCCCACCTGATGGGTTTGCCTTAGTTTTTTGACTGTCATCCAGGATTTGATGGTAGCCTAGATGGTATATCCATAGTTCTACTTTGTCCTGTATGTATTTGTATATATTAATTGTATGCGAAAAGCTTATCCTGAATACTCTGTGGTTGTCAATTGTTTTTGACTTTTCGTCTATATTTTGTTGTTCCTTTTTTTTACTAATCTCGTGGCTCTAAATGGGAAGTCTATATTGGCTAAGCATGTGTATGCAGTAGGTTATCATGGAAATGATAATGAAAACAGTTTGTAAGATCATTTTAGCCAATTGTTTCTATTTTTTTCCTTTATAATGCAATATTTGTTTTCGTAAAGAATTTTTTATTACGATAATTGAGTGCTGGAAATGGCATTTGTCATTAAAGGGATGTTTTTATCATATAAAATGAAGAACATGGCCCACCAACAGATCAATCCTATTGTTTATGATTTTCCTCCTTAACGTGCCCATAAGCTTTTGGGGATTTTTCAGATACTGTTCGAGGCCTGGCTGTGATGCCTGGTTTGGGAATTCTTTCTGCCTCCCATGATGGGTAAGTTTTTCCACTTTCTTTGATGTTTTTTGTTGCTTGCTTTAGTTAACCCATCTCAACTAGATTCTCAAGTCTTAATCACAAATGCACGTGTCTGCTTTGTTGGCCTCCTTCATTAGTCAGTTACGTTAAGTTTGATGTGATTGAAAATAATAATTCACTATAGTACATAGTTCAATCAAAGTATCGGCCGATACAGATACAAGTTAGTCAAGTCATATCCGACTTGACACCTTCTGAGATGATACTATTACACGATATGTATAAACACGTATTGCACCCAACTTGTAATGAACCCCCCCCCCCCCCCTCTTGCCACCTACTGTTAAGGTTATAAATTATTGACATTTGGTCATCAAAAGTTAGTTATTTGAGCTATGTTTTTTTCTTCATATTTTTTAGATTCTAATGACACTAATATCCCCAAGTTGGATCATAAAAGGAATATTACTTTGCCTCTTCAACTCTTTCAATTTTCTGTTTTACCTAATGTGTATGTTGTCTATATCGTTTGTATTAGGAAGAGAGTTGGAGGATTGAAATGGACTTACCAGCCATGTTTGGTAATAATTTTTAATTTTCACAAAACATTTAAATTGATGCTACCAATGTTCCTATGTCTAGGAAAATTACGATGCACTTTTTTTTTGCTTGATGGATGCAATGTCTAAGTTAAGGATGACAAGTTTACTTCGGCAGAAATTTGAGTGTCAAAAATTATATATTGTACTTAATTCCTAAAACTTGGATTTGTTGCAATATTAACATGTCATCAATACCAAGATAAATTGTCTTCTGTAATTAAAAAGGTTTTAATAGGCTTAAGAATATTCATCTTCTGTAATTAAAGAGGCTTCAATAGACCTGAGAAACATTCATCTTCTGGAATAAATAGGATTTAATAGACTTGAGAACATGCGTCCTCTGGTTGTTGCATTTTGAGTGTCAATAGTTCTACTAAAAGCAATTACCAAAACTTGGGTTTTCTGGCAGTGTTTTGAAAGGTTTTCTAATGTGATAATGTCAATGCTGAATATTTAGTGTATATTTCCCGGGAGATTTGCAGAGATATTTACATTAATGGTTGCATTTTGCTTCAAAGTTTGTACCCTCAGAATCCTTCTTGATCGAAATGACTTGGGTTTCTTTCTTTTATTGGCAAACTTCAGCCAGAGAAAGGACTATCGGTGGAGACAGTCTTAAAGAGGGGTGGTCATCCACATCTTTTTAATTTAACTATCAATTTTCAATGAGATAATACTATGTCCATACATAATTCTAAGTTATTTTAGTTCAGCCTATAGGTTGTCCTTTTTGTAACTCGACCATACAAGAAGAGTTGCAGTTCATTATGTGTTCGATCTAATATTTGATGTGATGGCTAGCTCTCATACTAATTTGTATTAGAACTTGCTTGTAAAAATTGATTTGTAAGGGAAAAGTGTCAAAGAGTTCATATATACACATTTAGTCTTATATATTTAATTGTTTATATATATAACCGATGTAGAATTGTAACTTTCACCCATTTCTGTAGTTGATGTGCACGACGGTTCACTCTATTGACACTGATCTAATAGTAAGTTTTTCCTTTGGCGGCTACTCTCACCTATCAGTATCCATTTTCCAATGAAATAGTACTATACTCATACATAATAATCATTTATCTTCATTAAACCTATAGGTTGCCCTTTGTGTGACTTGACCATTAAGAACTGCAACCCATACTACTTTTGATCCTATATTCGGTGTGGTGGGAGTTTTGATACCGATTGTTATAAATTCATGGGTAGAAAGTCTATATAAACATATCTAGTCTTATATTTAATTGATGTAGTATCATAATAGAAGCAGAATGCTGGATCGCCTTTTGTGCAAGTCTTTTTTAGTAATTGTGTTTTAACTAGGTCTCTTCCTTTGTATTGAAACATTTTTTTTTTCTGAACTCCTCTATATTGAACCTTATGAGAGAAATAATTGTAGTGCAGGATTTTTCGAGTTGAACATCTCTTAAGGTGGTGAACCGTGGGAATGAAATATCGATATTGTTATTTTCCTCATTAACACTCACTATTAAAGGTGGTGACTTCCACATTGTGCGTCACCAAGAAAATAGGAACCGATGCTTAAGCCATTAGGTGAAAGTTCCCACCCGGGGAAGCGAGTGATTTTAGGTTTTTTATAGTTAGTAAGTACGCTTCTTGTATTCTTTCTTTTGTAAATTAATCTAATGCTCGTCATGGAAGCATAAAACCCATTCCAGGAATTAAAAATAGCATCTCCAATCCTTATTTAAATCCTTTTATAAGTTTAAGTTTGAGTAAAAACATGCTTAAATTCAGCTTCAATCCTTTATTAAAACTCATATTACATCAAGGGTGACTCAAATTTTTACTCAAATCAAGAGATTTAAATTTCTATTTAAATCTTTAGTGGTTATTTTTTAAAGATCAAATGATCAGATTTTACCTTTCCTTTAAATTTGAGTTTTTTTTTTTTAAATTTGAGTCAAATCAAATGTTTTCATGCTTCTGCGTAATGTTGTTAATCAAATTGAGTTATTCGGGTTCAGCTCATTTAAGCTTGGTTTGTTTTTAAACGAGTTTGAACTTGAATAAATTTTGAGGCTCGTTTAAAAAACAAGTCTTATAAGTTCGGTTTAAATTCAACAGACTTGACTTGTTTATGTTTAGATACTTGGACTTGACTCGGGCTTAACTTGTTTTGGATTCATTTAAGTTTGACTCATTTCTTAAATAAGTCAAATTGGAATAATTTTTTAGGCTTGATTAAAAAATAAGCTTTTTAAACTCGGTTTGAGCTTGTTTGACTAATAGCCCTACTTCTACGGATGGTGGTTCAACTATCGTTGCTTTGATTTTGTATATTTTGTTGTAAATTTTACTTGCCAAGTCTGACAAGCTGGCCCCATATTTACCCTTTCTTAGATGCAAGTTGGCTTTGTGGCACAAATAAATAGAGGATTTTATTGAGCGAAAAATTAGACAATGCTAATTATTGAGTATTGTTTTATATTTTTTTGGGCCCCAAAACAATGATAAAAGCATCCATATATGTGATAAATTGAGGTATAATATAGTGAAAATTAGAAAGAAGTCTCCCTAGATGTATTTGTTTGGAGATAAGTCTTGTAAGAAAAATTATAAATGACTAAATCCATGTTTAAAATTATATGTAATGGTTAAATTATTTTCTTATTTTGAAAATTATTATTATTTAATTCAATGTCAATTAAAATATGTCAATAAAATTTTTATCATAAATAAAAAATTCAAATTCAAAACTCTCTCTCTTTCTCTTTATATATATATATATATCAAATTCAAAGCTCTCTCTCTATACTCTCTCTCCTTCTCTTTATACTCTCTCTCTCTCTCTCTATATATATATATATACACACACATGTTAGTTTGTTATGGAGATAATGCAAGTATAGTGGCTTTTGTGTGATGGTGAGTGTTGTTGTGGAGGTGATGACAACGTGATGGTTGGCGTTGCTTGGGAGGTGACGATGTGTGATAGTGCCAGTGCTATGGTGAGGAAAGTGGTAGTCGAATATATATATATTCAAATTCATATTATTATTTTTTTTATTATGTTACTGTTTATGTTATTGCTTTTGTTGAGTATGTTACTGTTTATGTTACTATTATTTTGAGCATGTTACTATTTTTGTTGAACATGTTATTACTATTATTTTACTAAATATTAATATTCAATGTTACTATTTTTTTTGTTTTTGAGTATTATTATTTTTTGTGTTTGAATGATACTATTTTTTGTGTTTGAATTTAAGAGGAATAATTATTGCTAAATATGTTACAGTTTTTGTTAAGTATGTTACTGTTTTTGTTATTTTTAAAAATATTAATATTGAATGTTTCAATTTTTTTTTATGTTTAAAAGTTAATATTTTTTTGTGTTTATATGTATTATATTTTGTTCAAATGATAATTTTTTTTGTATTTGAATATTATTATTTTTTATTTTTAATGTTATTATATATAATATATATATATATATATATATATATATATATATATATATATCTATAATAATAAAATAGAACCAATTTTGAATCTTTTTTCACTTAAAAATTTAATTTTATTTAAATTCATTTGGGAAAGAACAAGGACGGCTCATATTCATTCTAATTTTAATCCAATGATCTAAATTTCATCTCAATTCTTTTAACTTAATCCAAAGGCTCACATCAAACCCACCCTCTACACGCTACCCCTTCCACACTACATACCCAAATCAAACCCATTCCCTACAGTTACTCTCTGCCTCAAATCAAACTCATTCCCTACACACCCAAATCAAACCCACCCCTACAGCTACTCTCTATCTCCCGCCCAAATCAAACCTATTCCCTACACACCCATTTCCTCTGCCATGCCTCATGGCTCAACACAACGGTAGCACACAGCAACCCAGGCCCCTTACCCCTCTACCCACACCCCTCTCACTCCTCTGTCATGGCTCAGCGGCGGCACACAGTGGCGATCAACACAGCAGCGACACCAACGGCGTTCAACACAGCGGCACACAGCGGCTCACCAAGCTCAACCCATGTACCTCCCTCTCCCCCTTCGAGCTACAAATGTAGATTACAGCAAATGTAGATTCTTTTCTTATGTAGATTCGAGTTGCAAATGTAGATTACAACAAATGTAGATTTAAATATTTTTTGGAATGAATAATCTCAACTGATTCGGGTTGGAAATGGGTTAATCTTTTGTAAGATTTTGCGATTCTTTTGATGATCTTTTTTTTTTTTTTCCTGAACAGTTTTTTTCATATGTTCAGTTTTTTTCCTGAACAGTTTTTTTTTCCTGAACGATTCTTTTTTTTTTTTTTCCTGAACTGATGTATTTCAACTGCGTAATTCCATTAAAAATGTTTGCTTATTTACTCGATCAATTGCAAAAATGTTTACTTTATTGTATTGTGTTGGTTTGATATGTTTTTTTTAAGTGTACATAATTTTTTGTGTGTACAGAATTTTGTGATCTTTTCACTTTTTGATCTATTATTGATCTGAACTTTTTAAGTGTGATCTTTTCGTTGCCAAATTATTCCAGGTTTTGCAAATGAAATCTGCTATACTAAATTCCTTGAAGTTTGAAATGACAGCCCCGACATCCTAATTTTTTTTTCCCTGTAAGTTGATGTTTGATGCTTATTAAAGTTACTTATTCTCTTCATTATGATAGCCCCTGTTTTGCACTTAATCTGTTTATTAATGGTAAAGTTTATAAC